TGCCAACTTGTTCCGGACAGCAAATATATTTTTTAAAGTGGTAGTTTATCAATTGTGATTCATGGTTTAGTAAAATCACTTTAGTAAATTTTTATTCTCCACTATTCCTAAATAATTCGTAGGCTTATATAATTCGACATTTTAACATAAGTCATGCCATTTAAAAAGCAAGTAAAAACAGTCAAATATTTGCAAAATTTACTTTGTAGTTATTTAACGTTTTTTTAAGTTATTTTGGCGTGTCCGGAGCAGTTGGCATCTCTGAACAAAGTGTAATTGTAGTAAACATAATTATGTAACAACTTCCTTACTAATTCATACCTGCCAACTTTTACGCATTTGGCGTAAAATTTTATTTTAATATTTAAAGTGGTAGTAAATATATATAATTTTTTCTTTTATAAATTAATTTTTAAATGATTTTGATCACCACTATTCTTAACAAAAATTAAGCATCTATATCAATATGTGTTACTATCATGGTTGTCAGCTTAAGCTTTTTCAAATACAACGTATTTTTTTTGCTTAAAATTGAAATTTTAATTCCATTTTAATACCACTGGGAAAAATCATAATGGATGGGATTAAAAGCTGGCAGGTATGCTAATTCTATGCAAACAAATGTTGTTTTGACTAGATTTTACAAGGCAAAACTGTTGTCACTGTTTGAAAAATCTTGCTTGAAGCTTTTAAAAATGTAACTTTTACGCATGCAAAATTTAGATTGACAAAAAAGAGAAGAGAAAATTAATAACTTCTTTTTATAGTTTTGAAATCCTTTTATAAATGCAAAATTTATATTTTAATGGTTTATTTGAAAAAAATATTATCAAAGATCTTCAAAAACAGAAAACAAAGAAGAACTACAATTCCAGTAACCTATAAATATTTTTTAATAAAAACTTTCCATCAGTCTAGCCGTCTAGTTCGCACGCAACAGCGCAATTCTATAAATTCAAAAATCGATTTAAGTATCCTAGCAATATTTTTTTTTTTTCGTTCACGACCTTATTTTTGCTTCCACTGTTAGTGGAAAAGTAGCATTAAACATTCCGCTCTGCCATTCAAGTTGAACATGCCTATTTATGGGCAGTGTAAGTCTTGTTAATGATCTCTACTCCTAGACGCCCACGTTTTCGGTGTCGGGCGATCAACTGGTAGTGCGAGGTATAAGCAACCTACTCGAATTAAATGACTGTAATATTATTGATCAGATGACGTAGTGCAAGCAATTCTACTCCTGAAATTTCGTAAATATTGTGATATTTTTCGTGGGATGATTTTGACATTTCGTGTGAAAGAAAAAGAATGAAATGAGGCGTATCTTTTAATTTTTATTTCTTTGTTCTTTAAAAAAAATCATAGGCCAAATTCCAAAGTAAACTGACCTATATTTTTTCGCCACTTATTTAAAAATAAGTAGAAAAATTAAAGAATGCAGATTGAATAAATCAGAAGAAAATATTATTTGCGATTGCAAATAAATTTTAAAAACTCATCAAATACCAAGTGTTAAAATTTATTCAGAGCTTTTATGCGAAATTAAAATCAATAAACTAATCAAAGAATGAAACTAATTTACAAATTTAGAAAAAGACAAAATAAGTAACATTCAAAATAATAAATCAAAACAGAAAAGCGCTTAAAGTAGCTAAATCCAAATTTGTTTTATTTCAATTTAGAAAGACAGAAATACAATTCTATTTGAAGAATTATTGAATTCTATTGCTAGAATTGTATTTCCTAAATTAAAATCAATAAATCATAGTTGAAAATAAGTTATACTGAGTAAAAAATAGGATTAAATGTATAATGTTTAAACTATTATAAAAAGGCCACATTTTCTATAATAGGGTTTAGAGAATGGTGACAAATATTTCATGGAACTCTTGGAAACTTAAAGGTTTTAAATTTACTTTAATTTCAGGAACTAACCTCACAAAGTTTTACAATCTAGATATTTTTCTTTTAATTTTCAAATATATTTTAGTAGATAGGAATTAGCAAAAATAATTTCATTTTTGAAATTTTTCGCGGTTGTAGCTACCCTGCCGTAAGACTTTGGGCTTTTCTGGCCGAGCTGTCTCACCGATCCACGCAGTCCTCAGTAGTGTGGAGGTAACAGGCTCGAATTTCATCGTTACCCAAGATGTATTTTTTGATATCTTTCGCTAATTTGTGCTGTTTTTTTTTTTTTTTTTTTTTTTTTAAAAACTTGGGAAGGGCTTATAAACCATCGTAGTAGTGAACATACAATACTGCATATGATTGTTTAACAACAAACAAATAAAAACTGTTAGCATTTTTAAATTATTTTAAACATGTCTTGGATTGAAAATAAAAAATATGTTAAATATGTATTGTGGAGAGGTTTGATCCCTAAATTCCAATGGTATATATGCTACGGTCATTGTAATTAATTAATTAATATTAATAATCACCAGTTTATTATTAAGAGTAACTAGTCTAACCGGTTATTACTTTAACCGTAATATATATATAATAAATATAAAAGGTCTTCTTTAAAGCAAGTATTGATTTCTTTTTTCAGCCTAAAATGATTTTTCTACTGGAAGAGATTTTATCTCTCAGCCAACTTTTATCCCATATTCTTTCTGCCTCAACAGATTTAAATCCTGAGAATTCTATAGAACTTTGCTAGACTTTTTTTTCTATTTCTTTTTCATTTTTTCTGGGAAGCTCAGGTTAAATTAAAGGGAATCACCAATTTAGAACATAAATCGCGCGCCTTTGTTGCATGATTAATGTTGTCGAATTGCTGACTTCATCCTTCGATTTTATCACATGGAGTGATTGCTTTCTCGTCTGCTCGAAATTGGTAAACTGTGCTGCACTTTTTCTTTGTCACTTTTTAAAGATTTCCTCATTTCATCGTAGAATGTGATTAGATTAAATTTTTTTTTCACACTCTCATGAGGCATTTAAGTTTAATTTCTTTTCACTGAATTTAATAGTTTTAACTGAATAAAATTTAATGCTCTCAGTATACAGTTTTTTCTATCCAGTTTATCATTCGGAATTCAGTTGATCAGCTGAAACTTGTAAGAAAAGTTATAACATGTTTTTTTTTAAATAAATGTTAGAAAAATAATTATGTAGTTTAAAATTTGGTATATTAGGAAAACTTGAAGTTATTGTTCCTCATCCTTAATGCATATACAACCTGACTTTATTTTATTAATAGGAGGTAAGCTTAAATTAAATTTTGCACAACGAATAGTTAATGGTTTTAAAACTAAATAGATCGGTTTAATGTTAATTAAATGTTTTATTGACTAACTTAACGCTTAGAAAAAGTTGTTTGAATTCAATTTTTAATAATTTTGTTAAGGGAATTAGAGAAAATCAAGAACGTTGTCTATTTCTCTTAATGTATGAAAAACGTTCACAATCACCTTTTTTTATAACGTTCAATACAAAGATTGAATTCTTACTTTTACACAAATTAGAAATTAATAATCAAAACTTGTTTCGATTAGCTGACAAAAATTTTTGATAGATTTTATTAAAAAAAAGACCTTAATAAAAAGGAAATTGAAATTTCAGGACTGAGAATAATTCAACATGATCAAGTATTTGATATAGCATGAATGATATGAAGTCATTTTATTAATTAATTATCTATTTGAATGTCATGAAATTCTATTTTGTCTTTTTAACGAGAATGTTTTCGAGTGGTAATGAAAAACAATTGATTTAACAAATGCAAAATAGAAATTATTTTCATTTTACAATAACAGTAGGAATTCAGTTGGTCGTTTGTTACACACACATTTAATGTATACATATCTTTTTGATCGATTGTAATTAGCTTAAACATTTTGTTTCTTGGGCCTTTTTCTACCAGTTTTTAAATTTTTCTAGAATTTGGCAAACCTGTATCAGGAAACAAAACTATTAGCCATGGATAGTTACTTTTCATAAAAAAAGAGGTTCAATGCTTAACTACGAAATTTCCACAGTTTCAAATAATATTTATTACAGTATTAGCATAGGTTATGTATTAATATTTTAACCCTTTGTACCCAGATATCGCCTCGAAAGCGATATTAAAGTCCCAACTCTAAAATTAAGATTTTTTAAATTTTAATAATTGGCAATCACATTATTTTATGAATTTTAAAAATTATATAAAAATACTGTATTTGTAAGTTAAATGATTTAGTGCTTACATTAGTTAAAACAGATTTTAAAATACCAGGAGTACAACGCGTTAATAAATTAGAATTAAAATAATTTTTACCTCCATTACATATAAATAATTTAAACAGTACTTGTGTATTTTCACTTGCATCGTGTTAAAATCATTTTGATACAAATTTATTTTTACTTAGTAATTAAGAAAGAGAAAACACAAATATTGCTGTGAAAATATTTACATTTGAACCACTTCCAAATTTATTTTCGGATTTTGTGATAATGTTTGACAGAATAATACGTAAATACCATAATTATAATACATATTATAAAAGGACGGAATAATACGTAAATACAGTAATATATAAATTTACTTATAGAAATGGTCGTGTACTTAAGTTCTGATAAAAGATTTTAAGAAAAAGAACTAAACAAAAAAAGAACGCTAGAAAAAAAAAGAACAAATTTTTTTGTTTTAGTTTAGTTTTACTGGAAGAAATCTTTCGTGAAAAACCTCAAATGCTGGAAGGAAACGCTTTTGTATACAAGAATAAAAACAAATAATTTTTACAATCTAAATGAATTTGTAATATTTGAAAAAAAAACAAATTAAAATAAAAAAAAGTTTGTAAGAAGAAGAACGAAACAAAAAAAGAACTTTAGAAAAGAAAAGAACAAATTTTTTTCTTCTTTTCAGTTTAGTTTTACTGGAAGAAATCTTTTGTGAAAAACCTCAAATACTGGAAGGAAAGTCTTTTGTATATTGGAATAAAAAAAATTTTTTTTTACACTCTAAATGAATTTGTAATCTTTGAAAAACACAAATTAAAATATTAACTTACCAAAAATAGCTGAAAGCAAGTTCGAATAGCCGCTAGAAATCCGAGAGAATGTTAATGTTTAAAACTCACAGACGAAAGAATAGTTTTTAACCGAACTGGATCCAACAACGGTCTAGTAATGAGTGAAAGTTATAGTTGGTGTCTCCCTACGCATTTCAAATTTCTTCCTATGACGAAACGTCTCCTACCTTCTCTCAACGTCTTTTCTTTTTTGTCTTCTGCGCGGGATGAAAAAGTGATTAAACTTGTGATGAAACTTGGCATACAATAGAATAAGGGACCGTAGTTTTATCACGATTTAGTTTTTCTTTCAAGCTTCTCACTGAGTCATATATGTTAATTCTTTTGTGAAAAATTTGGCATGGTGCCCTGAATTTTAAATATAATCGATAATTTTTGTCATTAATTGGGCATGACATTAAATTGAGACTTTTCTCCATTTAATATCAATTACCACACTTAAAAAAAGATCAATTGATTAAAAGCGCCTTTAGAATAAATTCACTTTTTGTAATTAATGTGTTTTTAATCTCTTCCCTTAACCAATTAATTAGGATGAATTAATTTTTTTAAAAAATTGCTTAAGCCAAAAAAACTTGAGGACAAAAAAATGCATAATTAATTAAACCTTTTTAATAAAACAAAAATTACCAGTGTTACAAATACGAAGGATGATTAAATATTTTAAATGAATTGAAGTAACATAAAATTTTTTTTTCAAAAAACTGTCAAGTTTTCCAAGAAAAAAAAAAAAACTGGAAACTAAAACTGGTAAATATGATAACTTTCAACTCAGTTGAGTGTTCCTCTCCGATTTTCTCTCTGCATTTAAAATGGCAGAAACTTTTTATTTTAATAGTATTTGATTCTTTGTTTAATTAAAAAAAAATCATTTATTTATTTTTCGTCTTGGGTCACCACTGCATATGAATGATTTGATCCTATTTTTCATAAGATATTTTTTACTTACTTATGGAACATTGATATAAGCATCTCTAACGAGAATACTCATGTAACTGCATTGATATAAGTATCTCTAACGAGAATATTCATATAACTGCATTGATATTAACTCTAAAGAGAACACTCACGTAACTTCATTGATATAAGTATCAAAGAGAATACTCATATAACTGCATACAAAATCCATTTAAATGCAGTTCAGGTTCTATTTCAAACTCTTGGATTAACCCCTTGGGGACGGGTGATTCAGAAAAGCATCCGTGCGAAATCAGAATCAGGATGTAATTTTAATAAAAAACGGTAACTTAAATGTAGTCGTTTCTGATTTGACAGACTTACTTTGCTTTTACTTTAATTATTGTTAGTTTAATCATAAATATAATCAATGTTAATTCAAAGTATAACTAAATAGTATTATTTTGAACAAAGTAATGGTGAATTAAATGAATCAAACAATTATAACTCCGCCCACAAATAAACTGCTAAAGAAATACTTTGATTACCAATTTTATCTTTTTACCCTGATTGATCCGGTTTTTTCTGTCACGTATTTGTGACAGTCAGCGCGAAAGGGTTAAATTAGTGTTTCACGGAATTGGAATTTTCTTATTTCGATCATTGATATATTCAGAGATGCCAACTTGCTCCGTTTGTAAATATATATTTTCTAGTGGTAACGAAATTTTATTTATTTTTAGTTCATTATTTTTCATTTTAAGTAATTTTTCTACCATTACATATCAAGAATTCAAAGTATCATATAATTTGTAGCATTATCATTGCTAGCTCGTGGTGATACCTTTAAAGAATTCGTAATTATCCTCATTCTACAAGTTTTACTATTTAATTTGCTACCCATTTATTAAAACGTTTAAAGAATGCGGAGCAGCAGGCATCTCTGTAAAGTTACAAGGAAGACTTGCACGATCCCAAATAATATAATCCCAGATAATTTCTTACATCAAGTTTTTTTTAAATAATGAACTAAATCATTATCATAGTTTTATCATCATAGTTAATCATTATCATCATAGTTAACTAAATCATAGTTTTTCATATTGACCACTTTTTGCAACCGGGCATAATCAACTCCTTTTAGGTGCATTTGAAGGGCTCCAAATGGTCCATCAAAACTTTTCATGTGTTTGCAAAATTTATATTAAATATATTCCTTGTATTTTAAAATAATGATAAGTGGTTGTGAATTTAAGAAAAATTCAGTAATTCAGAGTAATTTGCTGCCACTGGAATATTTTGGGCGAGCTTTCGAGAGATGCGCGTATGTGCAGTTCTTTGAAATGATTTAAAAAGTACCTTTTTGGAAAAAATGTGGAGTGGAACTAGCGCATGAACTAATTTGATTATTTCTAATTTGACTTCCATTTTATTGTAAAAATATTGCGAATGGTTAATTACATAATAAAATGTTTTTGTTATTAATATATTTCGTTTAACACGAAAGTCTTATTACTCTAAAATAAATTTTGAAAAACGAAAAAAAGCGGTTACCACTAGAATTTTGAAAAATTATTCAATTGATATTTTTACTATTGATTGTCAGTTAAAATTAATGTTGCTTGAGCTTTAATTACTTTTATTTCATAAAACCTTTCTTTAGTATGCGCGATTGCATATTTTATGAAGGGTTAATATTTTTCGAATTCCCTGCCGATAATGCCTTCCCCCAATTATCAATCTATGACTTATTTTCAGCTTTTTACTAAACTTAATACATACTCAGATATGACTGTAATTTCACAGAGGCCGCACAGCCAACACTCGAATCTTTTTTGTCAAACTATTTAATCTCAGTCATTATACCATTTGATCAAATGAAGGAGTGAGGTGCCCGCTTCGCGGGCAGGTACTCTGCTACGCTACATATCAAGTCAATTTTTCGAAATTAAAAATTTGTGCCTTTATTTTTCTTCTTTGTCTTGCAGAGATACCAACTTGCCCCACTTTGTAAAAAAAAAAATATTTTCTAGTGGTAACGAAATGTAAGTAATTTTTTGTTTAATATTTTTCACCACTACATATTAAAATTTCAAAGTGTGATATGAAATGCAAATTTTCTCTAAAGCTTATTCATGCCCAGACAGCGTAACTAAAGAAGAAAAGTTTATTCGTAGTGTAAGTATCTTGACTACTTAAATCGCAACCGATTTATTAAAACTTTTGCAGAAAGCGGAGCAGTTGGTATTCTAGAAGCGATGGTAGGAAATCGGTACAATATTTTTTATTTAATCCATTTAATAGTAACTAAAACTAGAAATATATTGCAAATTGTTCATAAGATTTTAATTCCTTTATGTGCATCTGAGAAGCCTAACATTGGGGGGAGGGGACGCAGTGGAGTGATTAAATCTGCTCTCGAGATTCCCTACTCCTATAGTAGCCAATGTTAACGCTCAAATGTATGTAAATTTGTAAATAATTATTTACTCTCGATTCGAGTCGCAACTTCCCGTTGTAAATGTTACTATTAATTTTTTATTTTATTATAATTATTTTATTCCTTTTTATTATTAGATGTTTTCTTACTCATGTAATATTCGGATGCGAATTTGCATATAGCAATTTATTTTAAGGACTTAATAATCTTTCTTCTTCTTTTTTTATTATTTTTTGTATATAGCTTATTTTACTGTAATACTTTTATGCAACTTCGGATTTTTTCGTTCTTCGCTAACTGCGAATCTTATAAGTTGAAGAGGCAAGGCAGAGACCTCAACGAACACTATCACATTAAAATTCCTTTAGGACTTGTGAACATAGGATTAAGTAGTACAGACGAATCGGTTGGTGGTGCGTTACCGAGCTACCACACCCATATTCAGCATCTTTCAATAGTCACTTTACTGCCATTATCATAGCTGGCTACAGCATCACCTCCTACATCAGAAAGCCTCCACACGGGATTTTATAAGTAGTCTGAGCAGACTATTTAACCCTTTTGAAGGCCGTGGTAAGTATACTTAAACCCACGTTTTACCACTTTTAATTTAGGTTTACATTTTTCAATAACTTCAACTTTCTTGAAGTGAGTTTGAATAAAATTGGTAACCATTTCTCACTTTTAAAAAATGTATAAAGTATAAAAATACATAATTCCTTTTGAAGTTTGTAGCATTTAAGGAATTTATTTTATAAGTAAAGAAAAAATAAAAGTCAGTAAGTTCCTTATAGGTCATGTTAAATATATTTGCCACCAAAAAAATGGCATTTTTATAAACTAAATGAGTTTTTTTTAATATCAATTACTGTTCTTAAGACAATTTCAATAATACTTTAATTTACCTTTACTAGAAATAAAGGGCCCGTTAAAGGGTTAAAAAGTAAACCAGTTGTGAGCATGAACCCAGTTTCTATTTTAAAAGTAATTGAGAGAAATGTATCATATATCTTTGAGAATTGAATCTGTAGTGGTTGACAAATAAATAAGACAAACCAATCATGCTCATAAATTACAAAAATTTTTAGAAATATATTTGCTACCATTTTCAAATTTCTAATAGATTTTTTATTAAATGTCTCTTTCGTTAACTGGTTTACCTTCATGGTGGTCAGATCGGACTACATACATACCCTCCAACTGCTACGGAATTTCCGTAGTTTCAGAAATCTTATTTTCAGACGGTAGCAAAATTAATGTCTTAATATTTAAAAAAAATTAATTTTAGCGTAACTTGTCCACTATTACTTATAAAAATGCAGGCCATATGGCTAGATTCTTAAGTTCTGATAAAAGTTTTATGAGAGATCCATTTGCTTTAAAAATTTCTACTTTGGTTTGCTACCACTAGAAAGAATTATTTTCAAAATCTTCATAAGTTGGAGGGTATGTACATATAAAAAAACCGTGTGGAGGCTTTCAGTTATAGGAGGCTTTAGCTACGGGCTCTAATACAGATTCAGTCTAAGCCTTTCAATAGCTAAGTAATAAAGCTGCAAAATTTTAAATATTTTTTGCTTTTTTTATGGTTACCCCCTTTTACATATTTAGAAGCAGACTGTCGTAGTTCAATTTTTATAATGCTACAACTGGAGAAGTTCCTCCTCGGAACGGTTACAAGTTGGCAAATATGATCTCAAAATGCTAAGGATCGCCATCATTCCTATGAGCATTTTTTTTAGAAATATGGAGACTGGTAACTCAACTATTTCGTTCTTGATTTAAACATGGAGAAACAATGCATTCGTATTCATTGAAAAAAAAATGCGTGGA